TTTTTTGCTATTGAGGAAGCTAGAAAATAGAGTAATAATAATAGTAATAATAATAATATTTATTGATGTTTTACACATGGTGTTTACACAAGTGTAAATTACAAACAAACATAATAATTATACAAACTATTCCATTATATCACATTTATTCGTCAAAAATTCTTCTAGTGAATAGAAAGCCTTTTTTATTAGATATGATTTAATTTTAGATTTAAACTCCATTTCATTGCAATGTTTGAGAGCGGTGGGCAACATATAAAAAATTTTATGGCTAAAAAATTAGGGCCGTACTGACTTTTTTTAAGTCGTAAATAAGTAGGTACGTAATTATGCATTTCGCGTATCATAATTGTGAAAGTCCGAGTGGCATTTAAATTTTTGGCAATTACTTTTCATATAAATCATACAGGTATATATGTAAAGTGAGGGTAAGGTAAGGCTTGCCTGCTATCAGATTGATAGTCTAGGTTAGCCAATATTCTAACCACTCTTCTTTGTATTTTAAAGATTCTAGATACAGAGGAGCAGTGACCCCATATTAAAATACCATAATTCATTATGGCATGGAATAATCCGAAGTGCGCGTAACTTCCGGAAAAACATGGTTTGGTAAATTACGGAGTAAGAACACAGTTCTGTTCAGTTTTGAGGAGAGCTCGTCAATATGGCGTGTCCATGAAAGTGTGGAGTCCAGATAGACGCCTAGAAATTTCACCGGTTTTTGGTTAATTACATCAGTGTCCCTTCTCATCGTAAAAGTTAAAACTTCTGTTTTGTCTTCATTTAGAGACAACTTGTTCAAGTGGAACCAAGACTTGGACTGCCCTTGAAGATCTATACTTCTTATATTTGTTATTTCTAGACTAGAACCAGAGCTTAGTATTGTAGTGTCATCGGCATATAATATGAAATGACCATTAACTGTAGAAGGCAAGTCATTTATATAAATTAAGAAAAGCACAGGCCCTAAAATGGAACCTTGTGGAACACCAGACTGTACACATATTTCTTTTGAGAATAAACCGTTATATCTAACAGTTTGAGAACGTTCTTCGAGATATGATTGCATGAGTTTAATGGAAATTTCATCAAAATTATATGCTTTCAACTTATTTAACAAGATCTGATGACTTACACAATCAAAAGCTTTGCTTAAATCTAGAAAAGTTGCTGTTGTATAATTATTTTCATTAAATGTATTTAAGATTGTACTAGATAGATTTACAAGGGCGTCCGTCGTTGACTTTTTTGATCTAAAACCGTATTGTGCATTATTATAGTATTTTACATTATTACCCAGGTAAGTGAGTTTTTACTGGCGATAGGAGAATCTCCTAGAGCCAGTAAAAACTATTACCTGGCGTATAATGTACAATATTTTATTTGTTACTCATTTGTAAACAATAGTAAACGTAAATAATTAGTTCTTAAATTAATCTTGAAGAAATGTCTAAAATATCATGTTATCCATGTAACAGAGACTTCGCATTAATTTTGGCCAATGAAATTACTAGATTACTAACTTGTAAAATTTTTACAGGTCTGCTATCAGTTTTACAGGTCTGCTGTCAGTTTTACAAGTCAGTAGCGTTTAAACATGACGTTTACCCGTTTGCGTTTTGTCTTGTTAATCAACGTTTACAACTGAGTAACAAATAAAAAATATTATTGACCTCAAAATAATTCAGTATGCGATTTTTTAAGATCTTTTCAAAAATTTTTGAAAAAATGGGAAGTATTGAAATCGGCCTATAATTTGAAACATCCTCTTTGTCACCCTTTTTAAACAAAGGTAAAATAGACCGTTTCAGTGCCTTTGGGAACGCCCCTTCCCTAAAACACTCATTAATTAACACTGTTAGTGGTAATACAATTAAATCCCTTAGACATTTTACAATTTCTGCAGAAAGATCATATATGTCTCGACATTTACTATTAGATAAAGACGTAATGGCGTCTCTTACCTCAATCATGCTTACTTCGTGCAAAAAAAATTTTAAGTGGGGAGCCGGATTATTAATCCGACTAAATGAGCTCGTGCTTAATGTTGCAGAAAAAGTAGAATTAATTCTGTTGGTAATTTTCGCTGGAATTTCTTTAAAATATGTATTGAACTCTTCAGGTGTTAGGTTCGATAGACTTTCCTGACGATTAGTATTTCTAGAAGAATCGATAATTGACCACATGGCCTTACTAAATTACTTAAATGCTAGTTAAACCAGGAAATTGATTTTTGATTTTTATTAAAATGTTTACGCTTGACTGGTAAACAATTATCAAATTCTTGTAGAATTATATTAAAAAATATATTAAACCTAACCTCGCCGAGACTACTAGAATCTTTTAAAAAGTTCCAGTTTGTGTTGCTCAAACATTGGTACAACAAAAATTTTCCCTTTTGGGTAAAGGGTCTACATTTGGCGTAAATTTTTTCTTTATTTGTAACATCTGAACCTAGCCGCAGTAATAAGCAAACATGAAGCATATTTTCTCAAAAGAACGTCGGATTATTGAGATATTCAATCAAATAACATTCTTTTAATGGAAAAATAAGTATCTATATTTCTTATATATTTTGAAAGAAAACGGTGCTGAAAAGCATTAAACATGCAATGTAAATATCTATTCTAGATTAAGAAAAAACGGAGAATAGCTCATGAAAACTACAAACAGAAGAATCAGAATAAACATGTTTTTTTGTTTCCTAAGCATCCCTTTGATAATAGAAAAATTACGTATTTCAGTCCAATCCTAATCAAAGACCGTAGTTAGAGACTTGTTATGGCAAGTCTCTAACTGTATAGTGTGTGGTGCATCATTTAATAAAAATATTGTTTACTGAAGAGTCCCAAAAAGCGAATTGGTTACTATGAAAAAAAACATGTTCTATGCTAACCATCGTTAAAGTTACGTAAAAAGCAAAATGCTGTTAAAAAAATATGATGGGTTGGTTGTACTAATTTAATTAAGCAGACACTAAAGCAACTAAAGGAATGTTACATTTTTCTGTTCCAAATAGGACCAAACTTTGGTATAACCGTCAATCAATTGTGCTATATTGGCTTGAATTTCCTTTTTAAAAAAGTTTAAACTTTAAAGGCCTCAAAAGAGAAACGCTGACACGCTTTTCTGGCTGTAGGTATATCATCAATAGATGTCGAACTTGAAAGAAGGAATACATCTTAGTTACGCACAAGGTACCTACAGTACGTTTTGTAAGAGATGCACTACAAAAACTTTCGACATATCTCATTAAACGTTATTAAATCCAGTTTATTTCTAAACGCATACATCGGTTGAAAAGGCAGATTTTCCATTCCCAAATGAAATAACCATAAATTTCCCCGCAAGTATATCAGGCAGTTAAATGTGAAAATCAAGTGAGCGTATTTATCGAAATTGTAATTCTAAACAAATGTGGTCAGTGCTTGAACGCCTAACCGTCAGGGCAAAAGAGACTAATTGTGATGCTTACGACATTATTTGCGTGAATTGCAAATAATGTCACCCTTTGTCACTAGACACGGATCGTAATTTTTTCTGGAAATTTGTAAAAAAAGTGCGTGCGTGTAGAGGCCGATTGATCCCATCAACCGAATTATAGAAAGGGTAGCAATTCAATCGATAGGACGCAACTCCAGCTACAAGATAATATTAAATAAAGTCACCCTGCTTCACCTACCTGCACATCTTTTGTAAATAGGTTATTTGTATGTAGATGCACAGCTGAAAAGTTTCTGACTTTGTCAAACTCAAATAACATTTCCAATGGATGACCGGCCCAACCGGGTGTATCGTTACGCCACCCTACCCATTCGTATCCTTCAAGTAACAGAAGTAAGAAATTTTGTTCGAGAATAAAACGCTCTCAACTTCGCGTGATTAATGGAACATACTCAAGTCGATTAGGTAAATAACTTATTATTTAACTCGGATGTAAACTAAATTGGCGTCTTACCTTTTCCGTGCCCTGAAAGGTCGAGACGGAAATTATCTTGTCCTTTTTGGCCGTCGACAAGCTGTCCAAGACCGTGAAATAAATATCCATTTTCCTCCCGTCCATCGTATGTCCTATCAGAGAGGTCTAGCTCGAGACCTCTGTGCAACCCCTGCGGTCCGGAATAACTCAACAGGCCATCTAGATAACGTCAACGTGACATTTATATGATTGTATTTCAAAAAATAATAGAACGTAAAATTGTGCCGTCAATTTTATCCATCCCCATTCACAAATCCCTACAATCGAAATAGACTCCGAGCGGATTAGGCACTTCCGCTAGAAATATGGCGTCAACGAATTTGCATAAAGTTAATTAATACGTTGGTTCGTATTTGTTTATAAAATAGATGGGAACTAAGTTTACTACGTGCGCCATTTTCTAAATAAATAAGATCAAACGATAGTTTGTAATAATAATTTTACCAAAACACTGTTTGGTAATTTTAATATTGCTGGTAGCGTAACTAATTAGCGACGCTGGGAAATCGTGATCTGAATGCTAATCGAATTACCTATCCTCAAATAAGTGCTTCAAACACCAAGATTTACTTACCGGTCCAGACACATCCGACAAGTTCGACTCGCATGCAGACAGTTCGAACGTGATCGCTATATGGAAGTAATCGAATTTTTGTTGCAACAACAGGCGGATCTAATCTTTGATCAACTACGGTGAACGTGTTTGTATTTCCGGGCAGCAACTGTAACAAAATAATTGAAATTAGAAATTCGGTCTTTCGCAAACTACAAAGCTCAGCGGTCACCTTCCAAAGAACCTGCATCGCAAAACAGGGAAAACACGTCGAAATCGATGAGAAAGTTAAGTACTCCGTAAAGTTACATACACTGAGATGTTTTATCTAAATTGCATAAAGCACAAAATATTAACATTCTGCAAGCATCTTACTTTAAAAACGTATGCAAATCCTCCCTCTATACGATCTGTATTTTCTATGAAAGCAGCAGCAGCAGAAGTTTTTGTTAAAAGATTCTATTAATCGGTTAATAGTTAATTACTTATTGATAAATCTTATTGTTTTGCTGATCTCTTAGACTGTAACAGAATAAAGGAATACATATTTCAGAACTGTTATTTTTCAACTAACGCAAAACCCCTTGTAATTTGGGAAAAATGAAAGCTTTCCTTACTAGTTCTATAAGCACATACAATTTAGCTCTACATATTACCACACACAATCACGACAATAGAAATTGACCTGAAGTTTGTTTTCAAAACTTCAAACGCCACTTTTTTGGAATTTTCCAAACATTTAATTTCATATTTAAAACAACCAGTTACAAAATTTCCCGAAAATCGCTGTGTTTGTTGCACACTCGCTTAAGGATGTTCAGATTTAGCGTTTAGCAGCGTTTCCTCGCTGTACAAGAATGTTGATATGTTCCTGCAGGTATCTTGTAGCTTGAGGAATACCAGAATTTTTTCTGTTTCTGTTTATTTCTGTTAATATGCTATAAAGAGGCAAATATCTATATCTTCAACTCCTCAAAAAATTTTTCCTACGACACAACTTTACTTTTTGACTACCTAAGGCCTTGTCAGGTTGGGGTGAAAAGTGGTTGTGAGGCCGCAGCCCAGGCAGTCAGAACGCGCATTGCCAAGAACAAACTCGTAAAAAAAATGCTTTCAGTTTTGTGGAATGAGATATCCTTCTTCAAAATATTAAGGAAATAATTCCCCAGCTTTGCCCATACCCCTGGCAGTGCTACTCTTCTCCATCTAATTCTATGTATAAACAACATCTAATCTTTCGAAACACCTAAAAAATTGGGATTTACAACGGCTTATGACTGAAAAACCCCAACAATCTTTGTCTCATCTTGGATCACCACACAGAGCCATCTTACTTGCTACATCTGAACATCTGGTACATGGTCAGATGCTTTACCTTCTGCAAATTTAGGAACTCTTTGAGACGAACATCAACCGTTTACATGCTGGTTAAATTTTGCGCAGCGGGAGTTACGAAATTGTTACGGAAGTGTTTTATTGGACGATTGTAAGAGAAACAAACATTCGTCATTGTACAAAACATCTTTCTTTCAATCAATCAAACAAGTCGCAAACTACTTCATTAAACTGATAATTTGATTCGGACAAATGGCAGTTCTTGTTTAAGAATCGTTATTGATTTGCCCTCTTTCTCTAAATAACCCGTTTATAGAAAGGAAATGATGAAACTTTTCCTTGTATTGCTAAAAAGTTTCTTGCTCTTATCCAAATCCTCAAACTTACTTATACTATGATCTTGAGTCTCGTGGAAATAATTTGTATCCATTTTGAATGATTTGAAGTATCTTAAAGTAAGAAATTAAGAAAGTTTTAATAAGGACATTTGTCGTTTTGTTACCGCATGCAATTCATAAAGTTTGTGTAGTCGATGATTTGATGTCTTGTAAAATGTTTAGAAATCAATGAGGTTACTGACACAAGTATGACTAAGTTTTCCAATGTGCATAATGTAGGCTTGCGTAAGTATGTAGAAAATTGCCATAAAACTACGATAGGTTTGTCAGTTTAATTGATTGTGATACATTTTATTATTACGATGACGGCCTTTCACCCTATCTACTTCAGACGACGAACTGTTTCCAGTCTAAGATCTCAGTCATAAAAACATGCAGTAAACATTTTTACCAGTTCCGAAAGCTTACGCGCTGTCCTGCTTAATTTGAACAAATCTCCAATCTAATATGGGTGGTATTTGCTTAGTCTTGCAATAAATTACGCGAATAATAATGCAAATTTGGTAAATATATATGAATTTTGTTAGCATGTCATACGTTTAGGGTGTAATTATAATAACTTAATACTGAAATATTTCCACATTCTCGTAGTAAATGAATAATTACTCTAATATTTTAAGTTTATGCGTTGGTATGCAGAAATTCGGCTGCCATCATTCATTAAACCGCACGCAATGCCGCACACATAACCTCTCATTAAATTAAGATTATTTTATAAATTAAACTGAGTTCGGCTTACGAGGTGCGTAATAAACCCCGAGTTGATTTTCCTCATAACTAAATTATGTTATTAATTTATACGCTCAGATAGTATATACCTATACGCATATATACGTAGGTTGCGAAAGTGCCTGAAAAATGGTTTTCCCGGGAAATGATTCTTGAAATATTAAATTGGATTTTCAAGCGTCAAAGGTGTATTACAATAAGGATGTATAAGAAATGTATTCGTGTTGCTTTAGGGTAAGCTCTGTTTTGCATGAAAGGTTGAAATATTCTCCAGAGCAAAAAATAATCTTTACTCCATGACCTACATTTTCCGATTTTATTTACCTTAAGCCCACGTTATATAGGTACGTGTACTATAACTAAATTTAGTAAAGAATCAAAAACACAGCGCGTAGGTACAGGCAAGTAACTGCAAATTTTCGCTTCCTTTGCTTCTGATTATGCCAACAATTTAATTACTTACAATTTCGATTACATTGGACTGTCGTCTAATCCAATGATATAAATTACAAGTGCGGTTGCTATCCGTAAAAATTTAAATCAATCAATAAAGAATGTGAACCTATAAGAATCGGAAGCATCCAAAGAAGTAAAGTAACTATGTCCAAGAAATGGAAAACATTCGATGAATAAACGAACTAAAGGTTCGTATTGTCAGAAGACAGATTTAAATTTAAATATTTTGAAGAAGATGATGATAAGAAACTAAAAGAATTTTTACAAGTTCCATAGAAAAAGAACAGGGACCCATGTTGTAGCGACTTCACAGGTTTTTTACTTTTGTTTGTGTTTATTGCTAATAATTCATTTTTTGGCTGCAGTCAAGCAACGTTTCGCTCGATTAATACTCATATTTGAAGGTGTAACCACTCGCTCGTTAATAAAAAATGTCTTGTAGCCTTCTATTAACGCGTAAAAAGATTGCTTCAGCAATTAGTTCTTAAATCTTCTGTAGAAACAAAAGAATTATTGTACCTCAAAAGTTGCACCTTTGGCGTTTAAATGGGATGCCAAACTAGGTGCTAAGAAAGGAACAATTTATATATAAAAATGACATACTTAATTTCAATACGTAAAGGGTTTACATTTCTTTTCTTATTTATAGAGGGTGGGGTGGACCCCTTGAAAATATTTAATCAAGAGGAAAAAATTTGAGGCACCGCAAAAGTTAATCTCCATATGATAAATGGGATGCTAAGGAAGGTGCTAAGTAGAGGATAATTTATTTAAAAATTACGAAATTCCAAAACAGCCAGTGATTGTATACGATAGCTCGTGACGAGGACTCTTGAACAAAATTATTCAAAGAAACAAACAAATTTTATATGATCTGATGCGAAACTATGTGCAAAAGATGTCGTCGAGATTAAATAGAAAGCAGAACTACAGACAAATGTACCAAAAAAGTAACATAATTTCAATACGGCGAGAGGGTTTACATTTTTCGTGTATTGGGTTAAGGTGAACTCCTTGAAGGTGGTTACTTAATCAAAAAAAGAAAATTGAAATCAGTCTAAGAAACAAAACAAAAATGTGTACCCTTTGCCATTAAAAGGGAAGGTCACCCCTGTACGGTTATATAATGCTATACACAGATACTGCGAGTATGAAAAATTTATTTAGAAACTACGTAATTTGAATTAGGCGAGGGTTTAAATTGCTATTCTTGTTTAAAGGATTTCCGGAAGGCCCCTTGACGTATCACAGGGATAAACACCCCTTGAAATAGTTGGTGTCCAAACTACCTACGGTGTTTCGATGATACAAAACTGTAAAGTACTTGACGATAATGAAGTTAATAAGATAAATGGCATGAATACTATCCAAAAATGTAAATTTTGGCATTTCGTGTCTAATTTATAAATAAATAATTTCGATAGTTCGATTGATTGGGCATTTGTGCTGCTATTAATTCAAGTTAATTTGTTTACCTTTTCGACTATCGATTTCCCCATAGCAGGAATTGGCCAAAACGCGAATTATATAAGCGAAACTTATAAGAGTATAAGTTTCAAGAGGTATTCAGAAGTTTGAAAGTTTTCAGTAGTGCGGAAATGTAATGACATTCTAAATTATATGGGGTAATATTCTAAAGTACGTCTGGCAATTTTCATACTCGTAGATAAAATGGAAATATATTCTTCTAGCTTATAAATTTTCTCAATATTGTTAATGCGAGACGTTAATGTTGCTCAGAAAGTGAAAATTGTACGCCCACGTTTCGGGAATTTATTCCTGATACTTTCTTATAACATTCGCAATAGAGGAATTTCTTCGAAATAGAAATGAAGAATGTCGCTAAAGTACTCACGAGCCGATTTTCCTCTTGAAAAGTTTACAAGTTTGGTGTGTAATGCCTATACAAAGTGCAATTTTGAATGAAAATTGTGCTTATAACGAAACGCTCAAGTGTCACTAGACAAAAGCACCACTTTGACCTAGGTATGCTTTCTTACTCGTTTTCCTGATCTGTAGAACAACCCTCATTGTCAGAAGTTTGCTAAGTGGCAAAATTCCCGTTAATTGTGTATTTGTCAACGTAACAACAAAGCAAGAGCAACAAAGCAACATTTATGTGGTTACACGCCTTTACCTATACAGTTATTTGCTAGCTTGTTGACCGCCTTTTTGATTTATGTTCGGGAGTTTGAGCAATATTTCTTCTTCTTTTTCAACCTTCTCTGTGTTTTTAAATTTATATTGCAGTACGTAAAAGATGAAACAAGTTTATTAGACAAAATCAACCAATAAGCTCAAAAAAAGAGCTTATAAGCAAAATACCACACACAAGCGATCGATTAAACAAACCGGTCGTAACTGCGATTTTCAACAAACACAAAAATCAGCTGTTTGAATCCCTAAATGTCGGTCTAAAATTTCTGTTACTAGAAGTTGAAAATCCTTAAAGTCTAATAGTTTCTAACCTTTGTTAAAATTTCTAAAGTCTCCAAAGCTTTTATAGGTTCTGAGATCTACTAAATTTGCAGGACTATTTCTGAAACACCTAAATATTCTGAAACTGTTAGAACTTCTAAGATCCTTACATTACAGTTCTTGAATTATCTTATTAATTTTGTCAAAAGTGCGTAGATGTTCGGTAACTGTATGTATAATTTTGATAATATGAAATAGGCCAATCAGCAAACATTAAAAACGGTTGCATTAAAAATGTATCAAAAACTCGAGGATATAGGTTCAAATTTGATGGAGATAAATTGACTTTCGCACAAAAAATTATAAGTATTATCGTGAGAATCAAATGGTATTTATAAAATGCACGTTAATCCTAGAGAAATATTTCAGTTGGAGATTGTGGAAAGCCATCTCCACTAAAGGTTTAAATTTAATATCAATCAACATATTTAAAAAATACCCGCAGTAAACCGCCCTTGCTAAGTACGTTTGCATACCTGTTTCCTGTAGAAAAATCATTGCGTTAATAATTACGATCATATCTAATTGGGGTTATCTCTATGCAGTTTTTATTGGTTGATACAGTTTTAAGGAATTTAAGTGGGATTTCGAATTAAATACGAGACCCCGCGGAAAGAAGACGCCTTTTCTTGGTTTTTGAGGCCGAAATGCTGTCCACAGAAGTAGTACTTTTTTTGTATAAAATTTTCGAGGATGAGTTACGGTCCCTTTATAGAAGCATAGAAGCATTTTGCCAGTTTCGAGTGCTATTCCTTTATTGCGGCGTATATTATTGTAAATCTCATCATGGTCGGGATACGATCGATTACATCCAAACTCCATTTTCATCTTTAGTCCCATTACGGAAATAGAACTGCAAAAGCATCTTATTCTCTACTAAAGTAAAATGCATGTCGGTGTACACCTATTATACGCTACAACAAAAAAAAGGAATTTGCAATGCAAAAAGTGTTTTACTCACCTTGTAAATATTCGAAAGGAACTAATAGTCTTGAAAAGGACGAAAGTAATAAGAAGAGAACATTGTGCAGGAAAATAAACGAATGAAAAAGAACCAAAGGAGGGTAACAACAGCGAACTAAGTCGATTACTAACACTTTTTTCACCTTTTCAAAATTGTCAAATTGGGTCTGATTCTTGAACACTCTGGACCAATTTTTTGAATAGGTATTCGTCTTGGGTCAGGACTATGCCTTATTTTAAGCAAATCATGAAAATAGTAGGTCTATATATAGTCTTTTTCCATATATATTTTGAAGCTTAATGGTCCCTCATATCAAATTAACTTAAAAATCTATGTAGGTAGACTTTTCATTTATAATAATCGATCCAGCTGGTCGTTGGATTTTCTGTAGAGTGGAAGTAAACCCTGTTCCATGTGAATATGGAACATAATAGCGCACACTTTCTTTGAGGTGCTAATAGATTTTTCGTATCTAGAGCACTTTCCGCGATTAAAATTGTTATTCTTCCTCTAAAAGGTGTACAGAAAATCATTACTTTCTGTCAAAAGCGCACTTAAAAACAGAAAACAACGGGAATAATACTGTGCCGTTAACATTTACATCATGATGAATAATTGCCTACAGAATTTTATGAATTCAGTGCAAGATTCGATAACGCAAGAAAGGCCGCTTAACATACCTCCTTTCCCGATCTATTCTTCCACCTATACCAGCTCGCGAACCCCGGCCTCCAGTATTCCACCATGTACTCCTCGGCATACTCTTGACCCTGCCCGTTCCCGAAACGTCCCTGCGTTCGCACACCATTAATCACGTGCAGCTCCTCCAAATTAATTTCTAAATATTCTTTGGCGTCACGCGATACCATCTGACGAGGACACCATGCGCCGCCGTTTTTATCGTTGCGTAATCTAAAAGGAGAGAATACATTTCATTTGCCTTTCTCGAAATTATAATCATTACAAGAGCATAACGTCTAGAAGGATGGAAAATTTAATTAGATTTTCTTTGTTTGATGTACGTTTTTGTACATTTAAATACTGAAAACACAAAGAGACATTAACAAGGTACAAGTAATCGTTTTTATTATAAGCTTTTAGAGTAGTTTTCTTTGTATTGTCAAAAAATACGAAGTGCTTGCGTCATTATGACGTACAGAGTTTTTCAGAGCTCGGTTTGAGCTCGGATAGGTATATAGACATTAGACACTGACTATTTGTTTGAATGACAAACCTTCCGTGTTGAGGTCCCACACTACCAGCATCGTACGCTGAGCTTGCTGTAACGGCCGAATCTTTGATTGCACCTGATTCCATCCCAAGGGCCGCCGTGCATGTTACTGAAACAAAACCGTTTCGTTAATTAAATTTGACGCTCGACTAATTTTTTCCTATGTAAATATAAAGGAGAGTGTACGCAATATCTACAAATTTAGAACAGCAAACGGCGGAAAAAAACGCGTTTCGTCCACAAATCTTTCATCGTCAGGCATTTATAGTATTTTCATTCGTTTATATAACTGAAACATTTGTACATCAGAGAAGCTTTCATTTTATAATTATACGTGACATTTCTAATCGCCTTAGCCTCGGTTGGCCTGCTTCATAAATTTAATACCCACACATATACCTACAGAAAACCAAATGCGGATTTTTAAATAATATTTCCTGCGGCTGCTGGTTAGAGACGCGAAATTACTGTGTCGCCACTTTCAACTCTCGCAGTACGTTCCATGCATCAGAGGTCTAACTAATTTGAATGAATCAACTGGAGGCTATTTCAATATTTGGAATTAGCACTATATAAGGGGTACACGCAATGCATCATGCCGAAACAGTTTACCTAAAACCGACGAAATTAAAGCACCCCCAACGTAAAACCACTCTACACTAAATACAATGTTTAAATTTGCTCCGAGCAGTTCAAGTAGTTGATAATGCAAGCGATTTTGTTAAAGAGTAGAGTAGATGCATTACAAATTTTCTTGCCGCTTTAGCTGTGAACAGATAAAAGCGTGTTTACCTAGTGTAATGGTTCGCTATTTCATTAGCTTTTAATCTTCAGTTGGATCGCGTTTTATGGATTTTCGGTGTCGGGGCGCTTTTAACTTTACAAGTACGCGACATTGGCTCAAGCTACCAATTTAAATAGCTTATACATTTTGTGTTTCACGATTCGAATTACTTGTACACTTTTCTTTCTAGGGCAAAAAGCTAAATTCATTCCATCTTGGAAAATTGCCTTCGTAGTAGGTGGAGTGACACATAGATAAACCAAAAGTATAATTGGTTTGGTTAAACTGTAAAAAGATCTCATTTTTATCTATTTGTGAACTCTCCAAAGTACTATTTCCATTTAAATCATTTGTACTTGAATCCAGGCGGATTACCCAATAGTTAACAACCAATTACGGACAAACACAAATTTAGATTATAAAATGACGTGGATACATGAAAATTAATGTGAAAAAAAAAACAGAAGAATTACATTAGAACGAGCATTAGAAATAAGGCATTATTTTAAATTTTGATAAATATTTCGCAAGTTTTAAGGTGTGGTTAGTTGCAGATCCTGCAGCTGAAGAAATCGGGATGTAGAGATTTTCGTTTCAGCCTTAATATTCCAGGATTTTACAAACTGATCAACTTTTTGTGAAAGAAATACGGTGACACGACTGTATACAAACAATAACCACCTACCAACTAATCTAATAACTAATAACTATAATAAAAAAAAAAAAAATAAATAAATAAAAAAAATAACTAATAACAAAATCAAATGCAACTGTGACCACCCCATCATAGGCTCCATAATCCAAAATGTAATCTTGACTAGTCGCTAACGCAACTACCTTCTATTTAACACTCTTAACAATATTTTCGCTGTGTCTTAGTTTCCTGTATGTCCTACCAGGCTGACTCTTCTATATGCACCACACTTCTTTGTTTCTTTCTTTTTAGCCAGATTCTTATATATCATTTCATTGCATAGAGATATTCATTCCTTCTTCTTAAGGACACTTCAGTTTCTCCACTGGAACTTCATATATCCCCGTAGCTTTATCTGATTTCATATCTTCCATTGCCCTTTCTACTTCGGTAAACATAATACTGGTTCCTATATGGTCAGGACAGACTTATTCTTCCGTTTCTAGTTCCAATTGCCTTGGTTTTTCGTGTGTTTTATAGAGATCTACCATCATAATACTCTTTCCATTGACTTTAAATTTTCTTCTCTTCTTTCAGTACTTTTCCATTCCTGTCTTCCACCTCATTGCTATAAACACGTCCCACGTACCATTTTTACTCCTATGGTAAATAAAATCGTGCCTTCCTGTCCTATCAAATTTTCCTATTTCATTACATTACAATTTATTTGGTTTCAATAATGATTTGCAGCGGATTTCCAAGTGTAGTCTTCTCTTGGTAAACCATGTGTTGGTTGTTGGTAGCTATTATTTTAGTTTCTCTGCAGGATAGGAGAATTGAATCACTAACATTTCCTTTGGCACAGCGTTCAGATTTAGAGAGCCCGTCTGACAATAAATCCTACGCCGTTTTTCCCTCTTTTTTACCACTGTAAAAAACTTTGCATAATCTCAATTTTCGTGTCCCTGCCCCTTTCATCTTATTTCACTTACTCCAATTAAATCCAGGCTGTTTTTAATCATTTCTCACCGTTGATTTCCAAGCTTTTCTAAGTTTCTATCTTCAATTTACCTTTTCCCTCCTCCTCATTGTTATTCTTGAATGTACTCTTCGTATACGGTCCACAGTTGGGGACCATTTTAACTCCCGAAAATTTAATATTCAAAGGATCCATATTTCTTTTCATCTTTCTCTGGCACTTCTCAAGGTATACCGTGAGGTCTCTAATGGAGTGGTTTCCCGTAACCTTCTCCACCCTGACGCCTTTGATCTCAAAGAGCATTGACGTTAATTTTTCTGGAGATGCTTTAAAATTCTAATTATTCTTTAGCTTGTATGTTTTTTTGCATACAATTATTAATTTTCACTTTTATTGTTGCAGATCAACCTCTACTTGTGGGAGACACCGTGGGGTGCAAACAAATCGGCCTTTCTACACTGGAGATGCCGGGTACAATTAATTCCCTCCTACAAACAATATCGTAGATATTTCAAAATTCTTTTCAAATTTTTAAAATTGCAATATTGTAGTTTAGTTGCACAAAATGTCTATGCTATAAAATACATCAGTTTACGTTCGTTGTTGGTTAATGGTAGTAAAACAAGAACCAAGGAGAGCATACATTGCATAATTTCAGCAGGTATAGGTACACAAGCTCAATGAATTATCACTACACTGTTTAAGTGTTAAACGTTTTCGTGGTCGCCGTTTCAGTCTTAAGTGTAACAATAATTCAAATCCAATAGACCTTAGACCTCCGATAGTAAAGCATGTAAATAAACAAAAAGCTACTGAAAGCGAGCGGGTTAGGTTGGTCCCCGCAATTAGTATTTATGAGGACCGGGTTAAATTATTCATTGTACTCTAATTACCCTTGCAAAGTTAGATGTGACAACTAAGCAGCCGACAAGATGAAATCCAGTTCGTTTATATTAAGGAGTTAAGGACTTCAGATTGCATTACTAAACTTTAATCAAAATAAGTACTCTCGCTAGTTACGCAAGCAAAAATAACAAGAAAGTTCGTTTTAATTTCGTTTAACTGTCGGATTGTGTTTTTAGGTAGCTAATTACATTGGCAAAGGTATAGAAGTGCAGCTTTCAGAGTTAACAACGGAATTTCGTTTCCATTCAGCCATTGTGTGTGAATGGATAAACTCAAATTCTAATTCATAATTTCTCCTATCGCAATGTTGCATCAACCGCTGTTAAAAACCAAAACGTTTTCCTGTGAATGAACACGTTATCCTTTAATCGCTAAGTATATAGGAATTTTCAGTTAAAGTAAGCCGGGAGGTTAATTACGCGAAGCAACCTATATACATTTTTTACTTCTTTTTCTGAAAACGGTAGCTATTTCTTTTCAATATATACCTACCCAATTCGTATCGTCGTAAAAGTTGGCGAGACGTCTTCGCCGTATGATTTGAAACCCCATCACGTTACTTTATCGAAACTTTTCGAAATAATTAATAGATCACTGACCCCCACAGTAATTAAGCGCTTCAAAAAAATTTCAACCCTTTTAAATACATGTTTTTGATAAAGCTTACGTCATTTTCGTTTTGATGTGAATACCTTTATGTTATTAATTCTTGCGGAAAAACGAGTAAAGGGGTCGTCGTTCATTACGTAATTATATTCTGCAATTGGTAAATGCGTAAATATAATGTTCGCAAAAGCCTTAATGAGATTAAAACTGATACAGTCATAATGAAGAGTTCTATGTATAAAAACGGTCTCATTAAATTTCTTTGCTTTATTCAACTTTGATGTTTTTAATTCAAACAATGCAAGTTTGGAGAAGCCCATGTACATATCCACAACAAAGATGGTTAGGCGGTTTCTCGTTATCATGTTTCATTATCGTTCCGGATATAAGTCCTCCATTTGTGGGATCGAAAGCAAACGAGAAATTACCTGCTATTATTGTATTGTTGATTTTTACGATTTTTTACAGTTCGTGTGGCTATGTTTGCATTTGCACTGAAACCAAGAATCCACATTAAGACCCCTACTGATGACTATGATGAGGGAAACCTAGTCGTAGAAATCGTAAACTTTCACTTCCAGTTGTAATTGGTGTAAATGGAATTGTTATGTTATTTTCTCTTCAATTGTTAGCTAATGATGGCAGCTTTTCTGTCGAAACGCGTACGTATTACTGTTTTAATGTCTATATGCTCTTTCAAAAACCTCCATATTGGATTTTTTCTTTTATACCAATTATTAATATAATATTACGGAATATGCGCTATAGATACCTACACACGCTATTAAAGGTCAATATTCAGATTACTTCTATACCTACTCAAATTTCAATAACAGAATTATTTCTTATTTTGAGAGAAAAGCTCTTGCAATATCGTCAAAATATTAAAGCGTAACTACATCTCCAATTAAACTGATAAAGTTTACTACATATTAGATCGAGCTTCTTTAAATTACACATTCTGACGGTCACGTTATGTGTCGAACTTTTCCTAAAGTAATTATTTCTTTTACCCATGTTTTCGTCTTTTCCGACCAATGTTGTTCAAATCTCTTTGAACGAAAAAGAAAGAACTTAATTAAATCACGTCTGTTGCTTTGTAGGGTGGTATATTTCTAAGGGTATCGACTAAAATTAGCCCGTATTCTATACAGCGCGCAAAGGTACAAAACGAAATTTAATGAGGAAGTTGATTTAATCACGTTAAGTGGGCGTATCCATCTAATACATTGCCAATATTTGCTGTTGTGCTTCTATTCGGTTCAATGTGAATTAATGAAAGAGCTTAGTGTGATAGTTCAGTAAAACGACGAAGGATTTAATAATTATTGGTATACATAACATCATGTATCATGTTTTATTGGAGTTAAATAGCCTCAAAAAGGGGTTGGAAATTCAGGTACAGTTTACCAACAGCAGGCATTGCTTAGCGACAAACCTTCTACAAACTTTCATGTAACTTTCAAGTTTCAAGTTTGACGATTTACGTTGTTTCTCAAAATCGATTTTGCTACGACAGAAATTAAAACAAATATTTTTGTGATTTGAATTAAATATTGGTTAGTTATTTTCCCCTTTAAGAAATTATTTTCGTCGTGCGGAATAGATCTCATCCCCCTAGATCCTTCCATGTGTATTTTTTGTTTTTTGAATATTTCTACTGCAATACTTTCCTCTTAATAAATATTGCTATATTTCAGGGTAGATCTCACGCTCATAGATACTCGCGCGATTATTTTCCAGGGAATTTGAAGAGAATCATGCGATTATTTTCAGAGAACTAGTAGAGTATTTACAACAAATTTTAGAATATTTGTCTAGTATTTTAAAAACTTTTTAAATAATTGACTTGAATACCTACCTGAATCTCGAAAATTACATTAGAGAATTATTTTAACCGTCATTTTCAAAATTATTGTGAAATATCCACAGTCATTATTGAGAATCACTTTGGAAAAATCTTGAAATCTGTTAAGAAAAGCATTTTTAAAACCCTCTCTTAGAATCGTTTTAACAATTATCTTGAAAATATTCTTCAGCATTGCCATATTGTCAATAATTTGAAATTTTAAGTTCTCCAAAGAGGAACCTCCAGAACATTATAGGTGTGTCTTTAGAAAATATAATTCTATAAAGAATTTGTGCAGTATCCTGAGAGAACTTCCCAGATAGTCGTCAAAAATTTTTAAAGCATCTTTAAGTGAGAATCTTTTGATATTCTTTAGGGCTTCTTAAAATTGTTTTTGAGAATCTTGTAAAATCTGCACAAAGTCTTCGCAGCATTTAGATGATCTTCTGGTATTCTTCATATAATCATCAAGGTATCTTATGTGCATTTTTATACAATTTCTTTTAATTTCCGCCATCCAACACGTAATGTAAAAGAACATCCAAAACTAACTGTATGGCAATAACAAATCCAAATATCGAATATTTTATAATTCTGTGAATGTTGTGAATTTTTCATAATTTTGATTTTTACAGGAATTTCTACAACACTCTTTTTGTTCAAAGTTACTGAATTTTCCTGTACATTTGTTAGAAGCTTTTAAATGTTTTATGATTCTTCTGAATTCATTGTTATTAAGTTGAAATATTCTGAACTTTTAATATTATTGATTTGATGATAGGTACCTATGAAGCGGAATTTCATATCCACTGTCAGTGACACATTTTGATCATTTACGATTACTTAGAGCCACACGAATCTTAAATAAAAAAATGTTTCCAACTAAAGCAAAAGGGTCGCACGGGACCTAAAAAGTTACAAAACATTCAGTTTTGAATGGCAATAACCGTATAATTTAGCAGAAGGACCACAACGTTACGGTGACTACACCGAGTCGAGTTATAGAAGCATTAATTTTCAAACATAGACTGACTCGAACGTCCAACTATTACCGCAACATGCACTAGTTTAAGTTGCATGTGCTAAGATTGTTTAACAAATCGCTAACAGGATTTCTCATGATTAAGCTTGTAGCAGCGACAAAGTTAGGTACGAGGTTATGTACCTACTCGTAAAACGTTGCATTTCGCCAATATTTGTCAAGTTCTGAAATTCAGTTACGTAATCTTAGTAGGAGGTTAAGCTATCAAATTAGATGATACGACACTATGGGTCTGAATAAAAGACGTCGATTCGAGCCATTCTGGTTTTATATTTGAAATTGATCGCAAACGACTTACCCAATTCTAAACTGGATGTTGTGGTGGAAAGCGAGAGGACGACAAATAGCAAAAACACGGCGTACGTTGATGGTCCGATAGTGCCCATTCCGACCGTTGTCATTATCACGCTCCCGTCTTCATGGCAGCTTAAGTTCTCAGAGCTTTTCACGCACTAGAGACAAACGGACACGCACCCGCACGCACACATTCGTCTTTCAGGACGTCATTTCGGTCGTTCATTTAGCTTCAGTTTATAAAAGGATTGATTGATGAAAGGGAGCATTGTTTTCCTTTCAAAGATAGTCTCTTCCTGCAAAAAAAAAACGTTTAGGGTAAATATAAAGTAAGTCCATTATTAATTTTAATATTGATAAATGGGGTGGTGTTTGCGATGTTAATTGAATTTTTAAATTCAGGCACAAGTCAAACAGTGCGCTCTGCGTGTTTAACGTGTGTATGTTGACAAGAATTGGGAAATATTGTTCAATGTCGACAAACCCATTATTTTGCTCAATACGGTACTAAGCTTAACGTTATCGTACGCATTTTGCAATGCTAACCTCCTTTTCAGATAAACAATTTGATTTTTGGACCACTACGCTCATTGTTCCTAAATGAGATTCATGGCCGTGGCATTTATTTACAAATATGTATCCATATTTTTTATAAGTGGCTGCAAACCATCATGTCCTGTGCTTATTCTAATTCTAACCTTTTTGAATCTGCAATATTCAAAAGCCTATCAATTGAAAATACTGTGTGATTTGGTATGAAATTTTTCCTTCTCTATATGATTTTTCTGACGATCAATGCCCTTAATGCATAATATATTGGTTGTGCTTCTTGAGTAACTCATTCTGAGCTTCAATAATGTATTTGAATGAATCTAATATAGGCCCCGTTAGAGATATCTACGGTATCTAGATAATATTTGGAGCAACATTTCACGAATATAGGCTATGGTTAATAATGTAGATTTTTCTTAATAATTCAGATAAAGGCTAAGCTTGACTTTCTTAAATAATTTAGCAAGCAAACTCAAGATTCTGTTTCTGGTTTTACACCGCCATTTTTTACTAAACTATTTCCCACAACTTTTAGTTTATTTAATTCGAATAACTGCAATTTGTATGTTTTTGTTAAATTTACAGCCTCTATTGTTTTTCATTTCGTGCTGCAATCAATTAATAATTACATTATTGGCAAAACCACTCCATCAACTGTTGAAATGCTTCAAGTGCATTATTTATATTCCAAAAGGTAATTAATTAAACGGTCAAAAAAATGATACTGAATGTGCACAATTTACTGTATTCCACACCTAACTCCAACTCATCTGAAGGTGGTATTGTATAACACTTTCCAAAGTGTTAGTTTTGCATATTTATCCTGTTTATCCTAGTTGACGTTGCGTAATATTATTATTATATTAACTTTTTATTGAGAAGTCTAATCGAAAAAGTACGAATTGTTTTGGATTCTACGCCCCAAAATTAATAAGAAAAAGTGTTTTCGCGAGAAATTTTGGTGTAGTCAATTTTTAGTAAAAAAGGAAGGTTGTACACTGCCTTTTTTTGAGCCCCGAAAAAAAAATTGTCTCAGATCGATCGGGAAAAAAATTTTCTTATAGAATGTACCCTGTAGAATCCATAATTTCAAACAGTTCGAAGATTGGGCTACTAGTTCAAAAGTTACAGCCCTTTGAATTTTCTTTCGGAATTGGTTTCTAGTCTATAACTTTTGATTGAGAAGTCTGATCGAAAAAGTACGAATTGTTTTGGATTCTACTCACCAAAATTAATAAGAAAAAGTGTTTTCCCGAGAAATTTTGGTGCAGTCGATTTTTGGTAAAAAAGGAAGGTTATACACTGCCTTTTTTTGAGCCCCGAGAGAAAAATTGTCTCAGATCGACCCGGAAAAAAATTTTCTTATAGAATGTGGCCTGTAGAATCCATAATTTCAAACAGTTCCAAGATTGGGCTACTAGTTCAAAAGTTACAGCCCTTTGAAATTTTTTTCGAAATTGGTTTCTAGTCTATAACTTTTGATTGAGAAGTCTGATCGAAAAAGTACGAATTGATTTGGATTCTACGCACCAAAATTAAAAAGAAAAAGTGTTTTTCCGAGAAATTTTGGTGTAGTCGATTTTTGGTAAAAAAGGAAGGTTATACACTGCCTTTTTTTGAGCCCCGAAAAAAAAATTGTCTCAGATCGTATCATGAAACATTATGTCATTGCTAGAATGCTTTATCGCAAGACGATTCTGTTCATTTTTTGGTGCTTTTACAGCTTTCGGTGTAGTCATAAAAAAGACGGCCTCCTTCCTATAACTACGATACGGGGCCTAAACGCGTTCTGACGCATTCAACGTGAGATTACAGCTAAAGTATTGGAGATACAAGAAAAATGTAAATACTCTTTTTTATAGGGAATTTAGTAAACTATATTTTTCATGTAAACTATTTCTTCGTATCAGTAATAGTTGCCGAGACATGGGCAAAAAAGTGGAAAAGTGTACCGTTTTTCCAAGATGGCGTCTCGAGCGCAACAGATTTTGACAGGGACTTTTAGTATGTTCAATAGAAAGTCCCAATAAATGTGTATACCAAAATTCAGATCTTTACCGATTAATGTTTTTATTTGCCCAAAATTGCGCTAATTTGACTGGACTATTCCTATTTTACCAAATATGGATAGTAACTTTCTTATTTTCAATAGAACACCCTGGTTTTATTACATTT